GCGTGGGCTGCTGCTCTCCACGGGAGGAATGAAAGAAAAAGAGACCAAGGAGGCCTCCTTATGGCAAGGAGGGAGGAGGGTGGATTCAAGATTCTCTAACTTCCAAAGATGCAGCTTTCCAGACTTCTGAATTATTTTTCTCTAAAGGTATGAACAGGAATTTCAGCAAGGTCAGTTTTTCTTACCACTTAACAATATAAATCTAGCGATTTGACCTTGCAGCATAGCTTTCCAAACTAATTTTGGTTTTAGAATATTTGTTATTAGTTCATAAAAATAACAGAGATGAAGAGACCCAGCTATCTTCCATCTTCTGGTTTATACCCACCTGCCTAGCCTGCGAAGTAACCACAATGGCTGGAGCTGGGATAGGCTCAGGATAGCATCCTAGAACTACATTCTGGTCTCCCACGTAGGAGGCATGGGCCTAAGTCTTGGGCCATATTCCTCTGCTTTTCCAGGAGCATTAAGAGCAAGCTAGATCAGAAGCACAGCAGGAGGGACTCCAACCATGTCACAAGCAGAAACCATCTGTGCGGCAGCAATATAGATTATATTTTTGAAAAAGTATAACCTTACAATGGGATAAATGTAACTTCACATTCTACATTGGAGGGGTAATTGTGGCACAGTGGTTAAGACGTTGCTTGGCATGGCCACATCCCGTATCAGTGCCTGGATTTAAGTTCTGACTCCACATCCAATCCAGCTTCCTGCTAACAGACATGCTGGAAGGGAGTAGTGCTCCTATACCTGAGCTTCTGTTTGCTTCCTAGAAGACCCAGAAGGAATTCTGGGCACCTAACTTCAGCCTGCTAGAGCACTCATTTTGTAGATTTTGAGCAGTAATTGAGTGGAAGGAAGAACAGACTTGTCTGCCTCTGCCTCCATTTCAAATGAATACATAAAAGTTTATTTACCCTTTCTGTATTTCAGGTTCTTTATCTGAAAATTGAGATAATTCCATGTATTGCTCATGGGGCATTAAGAGAGATCCTTCATACATTTTCATAGATCAATATTTTCTAAAAGGTTCTGAATGTAGTTATATGAATACAAATAAAATAAAGCACACAGCCTCAAATGGGAAGATCTGAAAAATTCGTAGAAGACTGAATTAAAGGTTTTTTTTTTTATAATTGACATCGTCAGCAACATTTTTGAAGCACCATTGCACATGTAAGAATAAAAAAGGAACCAGGGAAGGCCTCCCCAAGAAGCCGTTAAAGTTATCAGGACAACAAGATGCTGGACTCAATGCTGGGTATGTGGTTGCAATGAAGGAATCTCAACTGAACTTCAACTGTCGTTATACAGCAAGGTGGAGGAATCCACCATGGGGGGAGGGTTATGGGAGGAGTGAGGGAAATCCAAGCACCTATAAAACTGTATCACATAATACAATGTTATTAACAATAAAAAAAGAATAAAAAAGGAAAATAATAGGTAAAAATAATAGCAGGAGTTATCATTAACACTTCCTTTTATATACTACATGCTAACCTGAGGGTTTTGCAACATGATACATTCACTGAAACCCTTACAATGTGTTTGAGATACATGCATATAATTTGTTTACATTTTAAGATATAAAACCAGATAAAACTGAACTTTAGAAGCAGATCAAGGTAAAAAAAAAAAAATGAGAAAACTAGAGCCAGCATTGTGGTATAATGGTGAAAGATCTGCCTACAATGCCAGCATCCCTGTTCAATGTGGCCAGCAATGTATATGGGCACTGGTTCTACTCCAGAAGCTGGCCTACTCCACATCTGATCCAGGCCCTGCTAAGGTCCTGGAATGAGCAGTGTGGGACTGCCCACAAACTATCACACAAGTGGGAGACAGGGATAAAGCTGATGGCTCCTGGGTTTGATCTGACCTAGCCCTGGTTATTGCAACCATCCTGGGAATGAACCAGCAGATGGAAGATCTTGTGCTCGCTCTTTCTCCTTTCTGACTTCCACACAGATACATAAATTAGAAGAAATCACAAAAAAAGCAGGATGAAATGAGCATCCCAAGGTATATAACTAAAGCAGCTTTAGTTATATACCTTGAGATGCTGCAGCCTTGGCTGAATGAGATGAAAGGAACTGGAAAGTAACCCTTACTCCCACTTCTCTCGTCTGGAGCTAAAGGCTAAGCTATTGGTAAACATAAAAGGAGGCAAGACACGGACTTGTCTGCTTTAATATCCAAATGTATTGCTTCTGTTGTAATCGCTATTCCATTGATTGAAAAAGATTAGATCTACAGGATCTTTATTCACTGTCTGTACTCTATAATCTGAAAAAATTTCACATAGTTTATTATTTATTGACACTTTACTGAAGATTGACCTTTCTAATCACAAAATAATGAAAATCATAGTTCATACTTCTTTCACTTTCTTACTTCCTAGCCATGCACTTCTTAGCATAGCAACCAAACATTGTAAAGGCTTTACTCTTCCCAATGCTTGTAATGTGCACTGTCAAATTCCTAGCTTCTTTTTGTTTTTTTAAAGATTTATTTATTTATTGGAAAGTCAGATATACAGAGAGGAGGAGCGACAGAGAGAAAGATTTTCCGTCCGATGATTCACTCCCCAAGTGAGTGCAACAGTCAGTGCTGTGCCAATCCAAAGCCAGGAACCAGGAATTTCCTCCAAGTTTCCCATGTGGGTGCAGGGTCCCAAAGCATTGGGCCATCCTTGACTGCTTTCCCAGGCCACAAGCAGGGAGCTGGATGGGAAGTAGAGCTGCTGGGATTAGAAACGGCACACATATGGGATCCTGGTGCGTTCAAGGTGAGCACTTTAGCTGCTAGGCCACGCCGCTGGGCCCCAAATCCCTAGCTTCTTCTGGAGGCTCAGATATGTTAGCAGAACCTTCTTATAATTATCTAGTTTGGCCAACTGAATGCTATGCTAATGATAGGACAACAGGTAGTACTATGATGATCAAAAGAGTAATCACAAATTTACACATTCAGGTCTCATCCTGTCATAGCCCACTTTGAATGTGTGGTGTGAGTTTTAAACCACATACATGTTCAATAATATGGAGACAAATAAATATGGATATCATATGGGTTACGTTCATAGGTTTTTCTTTACTGTGAGATATCCCAGCTTATTTCAGGGAAAGAAAGACTTGATGTCTGCAAAATATGATTCTATTTTTCAATCTTGGAGTTGTTTTGATAATCTCAAAAATATCACATTTTTTTTTAAACCTAAGCTTACACTCAAATCTCCCATGTATTTTCAGAGGAGAATCATCTATTTCTCACTGTGATTTAGGTATACGAACTTAAGACTTAAAATCAGCTAAGGCGATTTTAGCTGGAGACCACTAGCGCTGTAAATAAGTGGTTTAGAGGAAGAAGATTGTAATTATATGGATTGGTATAAAAGTGCCACAGCTCTGCAGGAAGGAATACACTGGCAAATTGAGAGGGTTACTTCTCTTTTTCCAGGATGACAGGCTGTAACAGTAACAGTCTGTGGCATCTCCTGAGCTCAGGATCAGATCCTCAGCTACCTCTCCACCATAAATCATGGTAACATTAAGTGACAAGGAAGTGAAAGAGACTTCATAAGAACTCTCATTTTGTATAACACAGCAAATTTCTCATACACACGTCACACTAAATATTTACCACCCAGAAGAGACTCCACTGAAACACCTGACACTACCTATTATTCTACAAAACAGAACTAGAAAATTCCTTTCTCCAAGGTAACCTTTCTGAATGAACACACTTTCTGGACCATAATAGGAAACATATAAAGTGAAATACACAGGCATTTTCAAATCTGCCTATGTGCATATCATATTGTAAAGAGAAATCTGCATGGGTTAAGAAATAAGAAACAACTATGATTCATTATTTATTCTTCTCACTGTTGTTCACATAAAAAGCCACGTACCCAACATTGGGCAATGTATGTGAAATTCTGTGTATGTCTGTAGTTATTGACATGGGACTGATTTCTCAAAACAATGCCTCTGTTTTAATAAGAATAGAATTTGTAAATCAGACCAGCAAGTAATAGTTTTACTGATCATTTTCAAATTTTCTGTCACATAATTTTAAGAATAAAGGCCCTTCAATAAGATGGGTCATTTTTACAATTACAATAGTTGCATGTATTATCTTAGAATTAAAGGATCTCACCTGAGAATTAAGTACAAAACACTATTACCAATGATTTAACACATGAAACATAACTTGCTACTGCTTTTTAGTTGACAATATTAAATTCTTGGTTTCTGTTGGAACCTCCTTCTTTAAGAGACAATAATTTTATGGAGAAGGACTACTTAGAATCCAACGCTTGAATTTTTAATGATAATGAATTTAGGGGGTGGACATTCGGTATAGTGCTTGTGACACCACCTGAAATGCCTGCATCCCACAGCAGAGTGCTTGGGTTCAAATCCTAGCTCCACCCCCAATTCCAACTTTCTGCTGATGCACACCCTGCGATATAGCAGATTCCTCTACCTGCACAGCCTGAAATGGAGCAGGCTCAGGTAGCTGAGTTCCTGCCACTGACATGGGACATCTGGATCAACTTCCTTAGCTCCTGAGTTTAGCCTGGCCCTCCACAGCTGCTGAGGGCATTTGCAGGGATGAGAATGGAAGTAAATGGATTCATCCCTTTGCACTCATTTGTTCTCTTTCTTTCTCCCCTTTTCAAATAAGTAACAAATATTTTTAAGTCATGGATTCTGGAGGGGGGCGTCTGGCTATGAAGGTTTTCCTGCTATTTTATTTCATGATTCAAGTTGTTTATGGTATACTGTATATTGACTCAAAATAAAAATGTATTCATAAGGCAAAAATAGTGTATATAAATATTTCTAGTGTATATAATTCTAATTTAGATATGATTACTTACTATTAAGCCATGAAATGTATTCTTGCAATCTATGTAAAATGACAATTTACCATCAGACAATGCTTATATATCAGACAATACTTATATATAAGTAACTAAGGTTCATTACCTTGTAGATATCCAAAAATCCACATTGGTGGTCAAACCTGGTGTACAGTTCGTTCAGCATGCTGATCACTTGCATGGGGGTACACTGAGCACAGATGGCTGTGAAGCCCACGATGTCTGAGAAGAGCATGGTGACATCATCGAACTTTCGGGCCTGCACCTGCTGCCCTTGCCATAACTGCTGAGCTACATCTCCAGGAAAAATAGAATAAAGAAGATCCACAGTTTTCTTTTTCTCTTCTTCGAGGGCCTGGTGAGTTCTTTCTAAAGTTGCCTTTAATTTGTCCATCCTTTTCTTCAAGCCATCTTGGGCCTTTGCCTGCTCACCAACCAAAATGACATCCCGGGTGGCATCATGAATAGGAATGTCCGAGAGATGCAGTCCTCGGCCCATGAGCTCATCTAACTTGTCTACACACGGGGAGCCCAAAAACAAGATGGAACTTGATTCTGGGACGTGGATCATTTGTCCTTTGACCTCCATCACCTGCAAAATGAACACGAAACTTTGTTCAGGACTCTTCAAATAGTAGATTCACAAAAATTAATGCACTGCACGGTAATGGGAAGAAATGGTTTATTAGTTATGCTGGCATATTACATTGATAGAAGCCTATTTGAATCCAAGGTAGCGTCAAGGGCACACTTCACGGTTCAGAAAGAAAGCAGCTGCTCTGCATCTCCCTCAGCCACATTCTCAATGAAACACCAAAGTGGAAAACAAGATCAACAAAATCATTTTTTTTTGCTTCAAAATGAAAGTATTCAAGGAACACATTTCTTATTAACAATGAAATTATTCTCAGGTATACCCTGAAGCTAATTTATAAGGCAAATAAAAAGCTTTTAGCTTGCTGCTGATGATAAAATTTGGAGAAATCTGTCAAAATAAGTACATTTAGTTGTCATTAGAAAAAAAAAAGGCTCCTTTTAGAAAATAAGCTAAAGAGATTAAAATAAATTGAAACAACCATTAGGCTTTATACAAGTCATTTTTCAACCAGTTATCACTTGTGGAAAATTCAATGTTTATTGCAATCAGTACAATGGTGAATAATTAGTAAATTATTTTCAATTTTTACATTATGTTAGTCTTTAAAAAGGAAAATTTTAAACCAGATATCATTAGGTGAGAGGTTCTGAAAAATAACTGCCTCAACTGGCCTGCCAGTACAATCCAAGTGTAAACAAAACCAAGTAGGATAGTGCTGAAGAATGCAGTAAATGAGAAATAATTTAATTAGTAATTTTAATCGACAAAATGGATATAACTGCAACGCATTATATTGAGTAAAATAAGCCTGCACCAAAAATTGTTTTCTCTGATGTGTTGTAGTTAATACAGAATGCAAAAAAAGTCTAAAAATAAAATTGATATCTTATGATGTGGCTAATACTTAGAGCCCACAGCCTTATTCCTGATCTTTTTATTTGCTACTTGTTTAACACTATGCTTAGCAGAGCATTAAGCCTGTATTTATACAGGAAATTCAAAATATATTATTTTCTGGCTAGCTTGGTGGCATAGGCAACTAATCCTCCACCTGTAGGATCAGCATCCCACATGGGAAGAGGTTTAGGTACCAGCTGCTCTGTTTCTGATCCAGCTTCATGCTTCTGACCTGGGAAGCAGTGAATGATGGCACAAGTCCTTGAGACCTTGCACCCCCGTGGAAGACAACTGGAAGAAACTGCTGGCTGTCAGCTTCAGACTGGGTCAGCTCTGCCTTTGCAGCCATTTGAGGAGTGAACCAGGCAATGGAGTATCACTCGCTGTCTCCCCTTTTCTCTGTAAATCTGCTTTTCAAATGAACACAAATCTTAAAGCATGTTATTGAAAAAGTTAAAAGAAAAAGATTTAAAAGAAAATGGTAGTTGAGGGAGAAGCATTCAGGGAGGGAAATACAGTTTTCTTCCCCAGGATTGTATTTACAAACTACATGAAATATGTTCTTTAGATCATAAAAATGCTTTACAGCAGCATAATAAGATACATATAAATTATAATTATACTACAAATTAATTACATTTAAAATTACCTTATAATATGTGTTTCTTAAAATTCAGAGTAAGGAAGAAACAAAAAATCCTGATAGGTGTTTTAGAGTGAACCAAATTTTAAATTTGTAATAATGACCTCTGATATTAATGGATTTATTTGTGCTTTTATGCACTCTCTTTCCTCACCATATCACAATTTGTTTTCTGTTGTTTTCTTTCTTCCTTTCTTTTTCTATAGCTCCTTTTTTCACTTGAACTTAGTTTTTTCACTTGTCAATGTTTTCATCTCTCATTCTGCCCGTCTCTATACTTGCTTTATTTCACTATAATTCAAATTCAAAAAGTTATCATTATTTGCCCTTAATTTAACAAAAGGCAGATGTACTAAAGATGTACTAAAGAAATTATATATTTTCATGTACAGCAAACAGATTATGGAAAACTGATGAAATTTCAAAACAGAATCTTAAGATTTTGCTGTATCTCAAATTATATTTGTTTCAATGAAACAGTACAAAAGGCATATGAAAGCAAATTGTCATAAAACATATCAGATTTTAGAAATTTGTAAGTATAGGTCTCTGGTGCGATAGCCTAGTCACTAAAGTCCTTCCCTTGCATGCGCCAGATCCCACATGGGTGCCAGTTTGTGTCCCAGCTGCTCTACTTCCCTTCCAGCTCCCTGCTTGTGGCCTGAGAAAGCAGTAGAGTACAGCTCAATGCCTTGGGAACCTGCATCCTCATGGGAAACCTGGAAGAACCTCCTGGCTCCTGGCTTCAGTTGGGCTCAGCTCTGGCCATTGTGGCCACTTGGGGAATGAACCTGTGGATGGAAGATTGTTCTCTTTGTTTTTCCTCTCTGTAAAGCTTTCTAATAAAAATAAACACATAAAAATAAATAAAAAATAGAAAAATAAGTCTTTTTTAAAAATTTGCAAGCCTCATAAATCCTGTTATCTTAAAGATTTAAATGTCATTATATTTGAAATCTTGGTTATCAGGTTCTGGGATGTTATTATCATATTCATGAGTATACATTTCCAAGACACTATTAACTACCATAATCAGTAAGTATTAGAAATGGAGTACATCTAGTCATCTAACTCTAGTATACATTGTGATATTTTTCTGTATCCTGAACACGGGCCAGCTCCTGGTTTTACAGAGCTTTCAGAAACAGTAAGGCAAGCTTATTAGCCATAAAAAATGAGAAGAGATTCCTCTTCGCATAATCTCAGCCCCCACATCTCCGCAGGCAGTCCTCCTGACACGCTGACTTCCTATGTTGGGCCTGCATAATTGTGAAAGAATAAATTTATGTTCTTTTAAGGTACCAGTATATAAGCATTTGTTCATCAGCAAGGGAAACTAATAAAGAATGGAGAAACAAAATTTGGGGATGGGATCTGACATACATATGACATTCTATCCAATGACCACTGAATACAGCTTTTGAACAAGAGTTCATGGAATATCAATATGGAACATATCTGGGGCCAAACACATTTCTAAAAATTACAAAAAATGCAGAATATGTGTTCTTCGATTACAGGAATATAACTAGAAATCAGCAACTGGAAAAGTATCTCAACAATGAAAATCAAAACATGTTCATCTACATAATCTACTATTAAGGAAAAATAGTCAAAGTAAAATAAAATATACAAAAGAAAGTGCTGTACAACATGTTGAAATAAATAACATGCAAACATCACAGTGCTAAAAGGAAAGATTACAAGACCTACATGCTTACATTCAAAAACAAGATGAGAGATCAAGAAAAGTTTCCACCTCATGGGCCTAGCAAAACATGATGGTGAATCAGGAGGTAAGAAATAACAAGTTCAAGACCACAGGAAGCAGTGATATTAAAAACAAGAAAACAGCCACCTTGCAGAGCCAGAGCTGCCAGCAGCTTCGCTCTCTTCAATGAGCTCGGAGATCTGGGGACTCACACGGGGGGGTGTCAGAGTGGGCCTGAGATCGCACATGAATTTTAGTCTCAAAAAAGGTGGGGAGAGGAGAGGAAAGGCCCCATCCAAAGAAAGCATACCCGTCGGCCATGCCTGGGGTTTCATGCATGTATTTGTGTTCCAGGTGAGTGGAAAGGTAGGGTCCAAGACCTGCACACATCCCAGGGGACTGGGTCTGGGGGCCTGACAATATCTTGGTTCCCTGGTGGGTAGAACTCCAGCACAGAACACTCTCCCCACTCGAAGTCCGAGCTTGGGAAGACCAGGCTAAGGAATCCATGTGCTCCCAGGCACTGGGACTGTAGGCAGGGAAGGCAGTAAGAGGATGTGTGGCAGGGAGGACTGATGAGGGAGTATGTTGCAGCTGAGGGATGACTTCTGAGGGACTTTCTCCAACAAGGCTACTGTACTTGCAGGTAAGTGAGGAAGCTGAGACTGAGAGGTTTGGAGAAAGCAAGCTGGAGGATCTTTAAGAATCAGACTGATGCCCCAACCCACCCACATGGGAGACCTGAGCAGGGATAGTTACCAACGACCACCAGTGATCACAACCCACTGGACCACAATAAAGCTAGGTCTGGGGGTCTACATGACAGTGTTAGATTACAGTACCTGCCAGAGAAAGTCAGAACAGGGGAAGGTGATGTTAAGCTGGGCCATGAAACTAACCAACCAGCATGAGAGAATCCAGTCTGGAGGCAGATTCTGTAGAGGAATATTTGGCTCATCCCTGTGTAACTGTAATACCCACTAGTTTGTTAAAAAATTGGGGATGGTGACAGGCTGAGCTAGGCATGACCATGGATCCCCCAATATTCATGGTTACTGGGGTGAGGAACAGGTCAGGCTGGTCCAGGCTGCAACATCCATAGGTATAGCCAAGAACACAGGAGTGGGACAGGCTGGGTCACAACATCCAGCAGCATACAGAGGTCAAGACAGAGGGGCAGACTATGTTAGGTAAAGACAACAGGAGTGGACTAAATCAGAATGGGCCAAGGACACAACTGATGTGTGCAAAATCTGCTACTGGGAGGTGACCTGATAGAGGAGCTTGGGGAACTTGTCTGTCAGGATGCAGTTGCTGTAGGTTAGGGCAAGAACCCAGACCAGGCCAGGTTATGGTACCCATTGGCATACATGGGGTCAAGACTAGGGGTGGGCTAAGCTGGGGCAGTTCATAACACCCACTGGAAGATGTGAGAACCAGGACAGGTACAGGACAGTCTGGGTCGGGCCACAACACCAGCCAGTTCACAAAGGGGCCAGGGTAAGGAGGCTGGCTGGTCTGGGCTAGGCTGTAGCACCAATTAGCATGAGCTGGAACCGGTTGCAGGCCAGGCAAGACTGTACTGAGCCAGGCTACAGTACCACTGGCAAATGCTCAGGCAATGCAGGTCATGCCAGACTAGGCCACAGCACCCATCAGCACACAAAAAATTGGAAGAACTATTGTAGTCAAGCCCAGTAGGGAGGCAGCAGGGCTTTCTTGCTGGAGCACTGCTCCTGCTGG